GGCACAGACACCACTGCTGCTGGAGCTATGTGTCTGCAGCCCGGGGACCTGGAGGACAATGCCACAGAGGTGCTGCTTTTGAGGTCAGCAGTAACAGGAAACCCACAAGCCTCAGGTGGGGAGGTGACGTCTAGCGATGGCTGCACCAGGAAAGGGTCAGGGTGAGAGCACAGCTCATACTTCCTGGAGCTCCTGAAACTGTGAGAAGAGTCCAGTAGATCCCAGAAACAGGGCAGAGCAGGAGGGGTGGAGCCAGAGAAATACTTTAGCCCATCAGCTGGAGGCCAGGGCGGCAGGTCACATTCACAGTCACCATCCATACTGAGAGCAGGGACTCTCACCTCCTCGCAGCACTGGCTGTTGGCCTCCAGAGCACAGTGGCCAGGATGAGTTTGGGTCGGGTCCAGATGAGCAAGGGGCAGAGGGCTCCTCCAGCCTCGGCCCTGCACACTGACTCAGGATCTCACGCCATGCAGGCCCCTCTGTGTCCTCCTGGTCCCCCTCTGCCTCTTGCCCCCTCCTGTTGTCTATCCCATCCCTCTGGGCTGGGTGGTGGTTCTCAAAAGCATTGTGGTGGTCACTATGTCTGTAGGTCACATTTTTCTGGTCCCCCGCCCCCTCCTTCTAGACACATAGTAGGATTATATTCCTGTCCTCCTTCTGGTTGTGTGGGGATGTGTAACCAGAGCTCTGACCACTGACTTTTTTGTTGTTGTTGTTTTAAATATATTTTTTATTGATTTCAGAGAGGAAAAGAGAGGGCTTGAGAGATAGGAACATCAATGATGAGAGAGAATCATTGATGGGCTGCCTCCTTCTCGCCCCCTCCTGGGGATTGAGCTAGCAACCTGGGCAAGTGCCCTGATGAGGAATTGAACTGGTACATCCTAGTTCATAGGTCAATGTTCAGCCACTGAGCCATGCCAGCCGCTGACCCCTGACTTTTGAGTGGAAATAATATGTGTCAATTCTAAGCCACTGCATCTAATGCTGATAGAAGACCCCTTTCCTCTGCCGGCAATGTTCCAGAGAATGGCTGGTCCAGCGGTTCTCAACCTGCGGGTCGAGACCCCTTTGGCAGTCGAACAACCCTTTCACAGGGGTTGCCTAAGACCATCCTGCATATCAGATATTTACATTACGATTCATAACAGTAGCAACATTACAGTTA